GAGTTCGGGGTCGATTGGATGAAGATCGGACGTGTGGCGAGTCGCTGTGGAAGCCATACGGGCACTCATAAAACCCACCCGGCCGTGTAAGAAACCAATGTGGCCATGTGGGATTTAGCGAGGCTTCAAACGGGCATACTGGAGACTCCACACGGCTGTGTGTCCCTGGCCGTGTAGGAAGCCTGAAATCCACTTAATCGGAACCCCACGTTTTGGAACTCACACGGGCAGCTGGGTAAGCCACACGGCCGTGTGGCTTGCCCGGGTGATTGGGATTTTCTAGGTTTTAACCCAAATTCGAGCCACAAGTGAGGGAATCAACTTTTCAGAGCAAAAACATAGCCCTAGAGAGAGAAAGTGCGAAGAACACACCCTAAAAGCGATCTTGGAGCTGGGTTTCATCAAATCAAGCTTGGAGATCATCATAGGAGTGAAAATCATCATCCCAGAGCATATTCTTCCCATTGTTATGAGTATGACTGCTTTGTATTCTGTTTTCCTCTCTCTCTCTCTCTATGGAGTAGACCCTTCTCTCACTTGGGTATGAAGAACCCTAGTTCCATGTGTTAGGGATCATGATTGTAATGACTTGGGATGATTATACTGTTTGGTTTTAATCGAATGATGCATGATTCATTGAATTGATTGAAGTCTGATCAGCTTTTCTTGATTTCTGCTGCAACCTGAGATAGATAGAATCTGATTAGGTTGTTAGAGCTTCATCATTCGTTAGTAGTGGATTGGTTATACGAGAGTTAGCCAGTCTATTGCTTTGTACTGGAATCCAATTCCAGTAGTGGAGTTCTGTGCTTATTGCTTGAGCTTTCTATCCCGGTGAAGACTAGTCGTCTGCCGGGTAGTTAGACTGAGAGGGCTTGGTCAGCTTAAGAGATTCCAAGCTACTGTCGGATCTTCCGCAGTTTAATCAACAATAAATCAACCCAGGGAAATTACAACTGAGACCTAACTAAGGAGCTAGGGGGACTCATTCCCGAGTGACTCTTCTTTGCTTGGGAAAACCGAATCAATTCCTGCTTTCTTTCTGCTTTCAGTTAAGACCAAAATCAATGGACTTAGTTTGCTAGATAATAGATGATCACGGAGTAGGCAGTAGATCTAGACCCCGGGTTGATATTTAGAACTTGCCACTTTACTGCATTCCCGGGCTGCGATTACACTTGGTCGCACTTTGGTGTTGTGTTTTGGCGTGTCAGTGTGACTGCAAATCCACTTCCAGAAGCCTTGGCTTTGCATTGAGTGTATGGAGAAGGAATGGAGTGTCTCTGTTTCTATTTTGATTTCGCGCTTTTATTTGTGTTTTCTTCCTTGCTCTTGCAAAAGTGGATGTAAGTGAGTTATTTCTGTAATTCATTTTAGATGTGAGTTCACATTAGTTACGTTGTTCAATACATTGTCCTTCATAATCTACACACGGAAAGAAGATCATAGCTGCTGAGTTTGCAGTTCCACGGCAAATTTAAGCTCCTAATCTACACTAACTTGCAAATATTTAAGGGTTATCTCTTTGTGATTTTATGAGGACTGATGTGTGATTAATACTGCATTTGTTCATATGTTTGGTCAGTCTTCAATTCGCTTTTTATCTCTACTCCCTCTCTTTGTGAAATCGTGACTCTGTGCATCATCATTATGGACATTTTTGTGCTATACATCAGACTTCACAATTAAACACAACCTTGGTGCGATATATGTGTGTTTCTTATAAACTGGTAGTGATTTACGAGTGACAATGGGGGTGGAGAGATGTGAGAATTTTTGGTTTTAGCATAGTTTTTTTTATATCTTGAATAGATAGTATGTTCATTTTATGTTTTTGAAAAACAAAAGTGGATTCTCTTTGTTATTTCATGTTTAGGCCTCCTAGATTTAACTCGCTTATGATTAAGTTCTCCCCAACTGATTGCAGGAGAGGCATTGAACCATAATCATCAATCAGTCAGAAATCTATTTTGAAGGTCACAATTTGGTGAATCCGTTGGAGGAGTCCCAGATTGATCTCTGTTTGGGAAATCAGTTTCCTAGCTTCTACTTTGTGTAATCAATCGGCAAATCCAGCCTCAGTTTCCTGATTAGTGCCAGTCTCCCACAAAGCTATGATGCGTAACCCAGGGTCGACGCTTAATCTTTCATTTCCGAATGCTATGTTAGATCCACTATTATTGTCTTTTATGGCATATGCTATTCAATTGCTCCATTCCCAGGAGTAGTTAGGATTTGGGTTCACAATTTGTTCCGTCATTTATGGACGAATTGACCACTTTGTATGCATATAGCATATTCATTTTTCTTTGTGATTCCAAAACTTTCTTTCTTTATCTTTGAGACATTATATGGACAACCTGAACCTTATCTTATTATGCATATGCTTCAAGATTTGAAGTTTGAAGTTTGGTATGCTTTCTGTTTTTTTAGGAGTGGTGTTGTGTGAGCTGACCATCATTGTTTAAGTGATCTAAACCATTCCCCTAATCCTTGATTATGGTTGTAACAACATTTGAGTTAGGCGAGTCATCTACTCAGCTGACATTGGTTCGTAACTCTGTATCGAATCATGAATGTAAGTATTGTGTTTTTGTGAATCACATAATGGCAAAGTTCATGAGTCTTTCCCCAATGACTGAGTATTCTTTCTTTTTCTGTTTTTAAAGCTTCAAACGTTTCAGCATCGCATGGCAATTCATCAAGCATCAACCGAGGTCTTCGTTCGTCTTCTCCTTGTGCGTTATTTTTCTTTTATGGATTGGTGGTAATTGGTCAATTCCCAATTTCACAACTTGGTAACTATTGTTTTTTCCAGGGAAATGTCGGGCACTCTTTTATAATCCCGATGATGAGGGACAACAATTCGTTTTATCTGCTGAGGAAGAAGCTGTGTTTGAAAAAGGTACATATCAATCCGTCTTCACCTTCACCATGCCTCCCCTATTATAAATTGTTTTGGTTCATACTTATGGGTAATTGTATCCTGTAGCACTAAGCCAGTTGCAAGCTGAACTACAGTGTATGGGAAAAGCTCTTTCCCAACTGGCACGACGGAGGAGACCTCTAATTTTAAAAAGGAAATGCAAGCGCAAGCGAATGAATGTCATACATAAACAAGTTGAGCAATTGAACGGTTTGTATTTTTTTTTTGTGTATGTCTTAATCTGTATTTATAGCGAACTTATATTGTCTGAATTTGAAATTATTTAGATACTAGAAGGTTGGAGATTGAGTATCTTAATCTACTCAGCAAACGCAATCGATTGTACCGCTGCATCCATTTGGTCCAAAAACGTCGAAGCCAATGCCTTCTCCAAAATCGATCAAACCAGAGTATGTGTTGTCCAGGATGGGAGTTTGATTTTTTCCTTCGGATTTTGGTGTATTTTTCTTTTGCAATTCTCATCTTTTGGATATAAATGTAAAGGGAATAAAATTATTCTTATTACTACAATTCTGTGATGACAAATGTGGAAATATATGTATATCGTTGGTCCTTCTTTATTCTTTGTGTGGTTGTTGTTATTGTTCTTATTGACCATACTCCGATATTGTTTATAAAAAAATGTGTAGTATAGTGAATCCAATTGTGTACAGTATGTGTATCTAAATGAACGGTATCATCATTACACCTGTATACTGGATAAATTTTTCTCATAATGTTTTGCGTTATAGGTTTTCCAATTGTCGAGTTTTTTGATATTGGATTCCGTTCATGCACTTGCCTACATTGTGGTGCTGTGTTTTGGCGTTATGAGAGCACGTCATCCACAAGGAAACATTCAAATCCTTCATTTGGATTGTGTTGCAAGCATGTTAAGGTGAAGCTTCCTACCCGTAGAGATCCTCCACAATTCCTGAAGACCTTACTTGAAGGTGATACTGCAGAAAGCCATCATTTCCGCGCTAATACCAAAGGTTATAATGGTATATTTTGTTTAATTTCCATCGGTGGGAAAGTAATCACTCCATTATTGATGGAAAAGGTGTTACGTTTACTCAATTGGAGGTCAAATTTATCATCGAATTGGAAGCTTGGTTCCGCCTGAAGGTGTCAGTCCTAAATTTGCACAGCTATATATTCATGATTTAGACAATGAGGTTCAGAATCGCATAGACTTTTACTCTTCTGATCCTGATAGGAACCCCTTACGCGCATCTATTATTCAAGGTCTTCAACAAATGCTTGATGCGAGTAATGTTCTGGTACGTACTTTTCGTTATGCAAGAGATAAGATAGCCGAGTCTGGTGTTGATGAATTTCAGCTTAAATTATTCGCTAAGAGGGAGGGTAATGGTAGGGAATATGATTTGCCCATTGCATATGAGATTGCAGCGTTGATTATTGATGAAACTGGACTTGAAACATTCTCTCCTGATATAATCGTTCAACATCGTACTTTTGAGATGGAAAGAATAAGTTTGTATCATCCCAGTCTTATGCTGTTACAGTATCCAATTTTATTTCCATATGGAGAAGATGGGTGGCATCCAAATATTAGTTATGTTCAAAATACAAGTGGTGGAGGGGAGAAAATGGTATCACAATGTGATTGCAATAGCTATCGTCTGCAAACTAGGTTTGTTGAATCAAATTCTTTGTTACTTTCTGGGAAATTATTTCAACAATATGTGGTGAATGCATATGCTCTAATTGAGGCCGAACTCTTGGACTGGATCCTGATCTTGATCTATGCAATAGTGACTACTTCTATGATGCATGGACCATGTGGGTTATTACGGCCGACTAATTCATGCATGAAGAATGGTAAATGTGGTAAACATTACCCAAAAGAATTCTGTGATCAGATTACAATAGATGACAATGGTTTTGCCAAATACCGTCGGCGCAACAATGGTAGAGTATTCAAGTGTGAAGAAGTTGAGCTTGATAATCGATGGGTTGTGCCATATAATCGATATCTGTTACTACGTTTTGGAGCTCATATCAACGTTGGATTTTGCAACAAAACAAGGTTAGTGGTCAATTCTTCCCTTTTTACTTTATTACGTTATTTCAACCTATTTTTTTGCATTCAATATGTGTATTCAATATTATAGGTGTCAAAACATATCAAGACCGGATTAACCCGTCCGATCAACCCAATCCGCAACCCGACCGCAACCCGAATTGACTAAAAGTCAACAATCCGTAACCCGTTCGACCCGCAACCCGACTGACCTGCAACCCGACTAACCCGCAACCCGACTGACACAAACCCAATTAACCCGAACTCGATTGAACCACAACCCGACTGACCCGCAACCCGATTAACCCGAACCCGATTGACCTAAGCCGGACTAACCTGTAACCCGACCGACTCAACCCGAACTTCACCTAATCCACTTGAATAATTATTATAATATACAATACATAGTTTTTCAAAATAAAGTTTTTCATTCTAAACTTATGTAAAATTATTTTTCATTTCGTATAGGAAATTTAAAAAAATATGAAACTCACTTGAAACATGAAGGTCACTTGAACACTCAGTTCTTTAATAAAATTAAAAAACTAATATAAAATCAACATAATGTCAATATTAATAATGAAGAATTAATAATTGAGATCATGAACAATATTAATATAATATATAAATTAAAATTATAATTAATTTAACTATTCAATAAAATTATCAAGTAAATATTAATAAATTAAAGTAATGTATTTGATAATTTGATATTTTTAAAATAAGAGGAAAATTTTGGTGTATTCAACTTTTTGGAAAGAGAATGAAGAGGGAAAATTGAGTGTTTCTAATTTATGGAAGGAGAAAGAAGGAGGGAAATTTTAGTAAATTTTTTTTTTGTGAAAAGAAATAATGAAAAAAATTGGCGTTTTCAAATTTTTGGTTTTTCAAAATTTTAGCCTTTGAAATATGAATATTTAATTTTTATATGGAGGGCATGACTAGTTAAATTTATTCTTATATGCTTTGAAGGCTAATATATATATATATATATGGCAAATGCTAGCGTACACCTGGTGTATTGCGTACGCCTGTGTTCACACCTATTAATTAATTATTAATTATTTTTAATTTAATTATAATCAATTAATTATTAGTAATAAATATAATTACAATCATACTGACTCAATTATTCTTGTATACATTTTAGTCTCATATCAATTTTTATAGTGCATTACGCTCAAATTAATCCTTTAACTTGTAATTATATGAATCATAGTACTCTTTTCTCCAAATCAGTAGTTTATAACACCTAAAGTTTAGAATTATCTACAACTACAACCACTGCTCGTCTGCTCCTACCGACTACAATTTAGAACCCAGTTTGTCGTTATTCTATCTTTCATTCATCTCATCTCCATCTCCTTCATCTTTTTCAGCAGAGGTGAGAGTGAGGTTTTTACTTGTAAATCCTATGTTCCTTGAACTCTCTTTCTCCTCTGATTCAGATCGGCCGTCATAAACTTTAGATCCCCAATCGCCAAATCCCCTTTGCAAAAACCCGAGCGTCACTGGTCAATCGGGAGCTGGGTTCCCCGCCTTCAGCCATCGATTTCGTCGAAATAGGAACATGGAATCCTCCATCCAGCTGTCTCTTTAGTTCGTATATGTGAGCTGTACTGGCTGGACCTTGTCTTGAAGTACTCAATCGTCTAGAGCAATCTCGATCACCAATTCCGTGCAGGTGCTGTCGGTTCCGGAGGGATTTCATGATCCGGCGGCGACTCCAGCTCCGCTCAAGAGCAGCGCGTTCTTAGTTCGGGCCTCCGCCACTGAAGTCGACACTCCGCGTCGGATGCGATCGAAGGTCATCGACTGGTAGCAAGAACCCAGCGGTTCCGGGGACGACGAATTCGTCGAGCTCCGCTCTTCCCTCTTCCACTCGTTCTCTTTCCTGGTGCTATTCTTCCCCTGCATATGTCTGAATCGAAATCCTCTCTAATCGCCGCTATTCATCCCCTGCATATGTCTGAATCGAAATCCTCTCTAATCGCCGTCGGCCTCTTCATCCACCCCCACCCCCCCCCCCCACCCACCACCACCCACCCACAACCCCGACGAAGATTGAATTCGACGATGAAACTATATGAAGGAGAGTTTATGGCGATGCCTGGTCGTTCGATTTCTGGGTTTGGGGAAGAATAGCCAGATTTCTGGGAACAGGGACGAAGACAGTGCAGCGATGTTGAGCGCCCTGAAATTTATGAACAAATTAAAACGTATAATATTAGTCATTGGCAAGAATTATACACGAAAGAGCTAATGGTGCATTGGTGTGGACTTTAGCTTGCAATAATCCTGAGGTTCGGGTTCGATTACTGGTAACCGCAATAATTTTTTTTACATGGCTGAAACAATAGTGTGATCTATTTGAGAGTTAATTTTTGTTTTTGCTTTTAAGTTTTCTTTATTTTCTTTTGTGCCCAATTATTGAATTGTGAACTGATTACTAGAGATTAGTGTGGGAATTTTGTTTTATTAGTTTCAGGTTTCTTTTTGTTAAATGTTAATATGGCGTCGACATTAATATTATACATAATCTTTCAAGAAAGTATTACCCTTTGTTGTAAAAAAAAAGTATTACTCTCTCGTTTTTTTTAGAAAGTAAATTTATAGATTGACAATTCCGTTGAATATCTTTTGTGTTGATGCTTTTAAACATCAAGATTTAGTGAATTTATCATATTGTGCATCTATTTCACTAAAAGCATGGTTTTAGAGATTTAACTTAAAACATCCAAAACGTTAGCTTACCAAATAGAGGACGCAGAATCAACGTCAGTGATGACAGAAAGAAGAACCAACGACGATGACTCCCAACTTCCACTGTATCGTGGTTTGGAATGCTCTGGGAAGTCAACTGACTTTGATTCGTTGATTTTATGATTCATCTGGTTCAGACTCTTATAGTCGTTACGGCTGGTATTGAATGAGTTTTTTATAATGAAAAGAGTGATGGCTCTATCGTTAGTAGTCTTGTTATTTATAATGAATGAGATATTAGTGAACACGTTTTGGTTAAACGCTATTTTGAGTGACTTGATTGATTCCAAATAGCATTGTGTACTTTGCATATAGCAAATCATATTTAATATTTTATTATTTTGTTTGACATTTTACGGCCCCTCCGGACATGGAATCCTTGCTTCACCCTGTCTTGAAAGGTGGTCCTTGACTATGTATTTTGGGTCGTGCTAGGTTTTGGGTTTTACTGTGTGGGTAAGAAGAAGCATACGATAGTGGCGACTGGCAAGGAAGAAGATAGTGAGTTGGGTTCAGGTACTTGTAATGGGCTTCATGACTCACTTTTAATAATCTTCGAGACCAAAATATGTTAAGGATCATGTTCTCTTCATTATACTCACTTGTCACACAACAAATCACAACCGATGTGGCCTTCTTTGCCGATTTGTTGTTTCGAATTAAGAATCTTGAGTTTTAGAGCTAAAACAAAACCAGAATACCATTGAGAACCTTTTCTACCCCACATAAAACTAAAAACTTAAATGAGTGGCGATATCATTGAACATTGCTTTGATACTCGACATTACATCCAATTGTCCACACACATTATTGCCGAACTAATTGTATGACTTAAAATACTATGTTTTCCTTACAATACATATTGTGGTGATATTTTTAAAACAAGATTTTCAGGCTCCCGATCCTTTTACTTCGAATGTTTTTAATGTTTAAAACAAGACTTTTCAAGCTCCCGATCTTATCACAATAATTGTTATATAACCGTTTCTTTTAATGTTTAACGAGCATAGTTAAAGAACAATTGGAACTAAAGTTGAAAGGTTGGCCAAACCCATTTAATGTTGTTAAGAAAGATTGACATTTGAGTTTGCATCATACGACGACTCGAAGGTGTGAACCTCGAGCCAACTAGGGTAGTAGTTCATGAGTGACTTCATATATAGCTCGCCAACTAACTTAGTAATGTCTTGTGGATTGCTTTGGTTACATAGTTTATATTGTAAAGTGACTCGGTCATTTGACTCCACTATTATCCCCATTCAACAGTGGTTCATGGAACAAAATTAGAACGAGCAAGAGCATGTGGAATGAGTGGGTTTAGGATTTAGGGTTTAGGGTTTAGGGTTCAGGGTTTAGGGTTCTTCTTCATACTACAATGTGATATACACACTACAAGAAAAGAGTTTTCTAATCACAACATGTAGGCATGAAACCTATTTTCATGCTAAAAATAATATAAAGAATCCAGAAAAAAAACTTACCATATTTAATTATGAAGAAGAATAACAAAAAAAATATGATGAATCTTTCCTTTGTTAATGAACGGAAACAATTAATTATCCAACTAAAATTTTTAAGAGGGAAAAATCCCTCCAATTTTTTGCCCAATCAAAATTTGAGAACTAAAAAATTCCCTCCCCATTTTCGACCGGCCCTTTTCTCAAAGAGGGAAATGAAAGATCTCATCATTTCCAAAAAAAAAAAAAAAATCTGATCCCTTACCCTGGTCTCTCAAAACCCTCTTGACTGCTCTGCTAATCTCCATCGACGGCGAAGAAGAAGACGGCGACGGCGGAGAAGAAGATGTCTCTGAAAGTCACAATCTCACCGACACCAAGGAAGGCCCCTTTTTCCATAGTTCATGGGGTCAGGCGGAGAAGCTCAACGGTGTTGGCGGACTTGCTGAGTTGCTGTAGAGGACGATGAGAGGAGCCGATGTCTCTGTGGAGGACGTCGACGAGGTTGAGTAAGGAGGCCCAGATCCCATTTCGACGGCGAAGAAGAAGATGGTGACGGTGGAGAAGAATGGATACTGCGGCGGCGGGGACGAGGCACACATGCATGAAGCTCGAGATTTACACCCCTGCGAGCGAACCAGTCTTCGTCAAGGGAACGTTGTTCGAGGGTCGCTTCGACCTCTCCATCACCGACGGCCTCCACTCTTGGGTCTGCCACGGTAAACCTATATCTCCCCTTACTTTTCTTGTTCGACTGATATCGACTCTCGTGTTTGAATCTCTCCATTTATACGAGGTTTCTTTTATCATCCTAACTCTTGCTTCAAATTTTGCAGCTAGGGAAGAGGATGTGAGAGATAGAGCGGCGCAGTGGGTCAGCCAGTATCCGAGTATATCCAATTGGCGGAGAAGCACCTGGGGTTTCAAATCCCTGGCTCGATCTAGAGGTTCGACGATGCCGGCGATGGCTGCAAACGAGTTAGTGATTCGCTTATTCTATCATTTTTGTCCCGTTTGGAACTGTGTTCAATTTGGTTTGCTTTTGGATTCGATTTACCCATTATGTGAATCAAACTTCATTATAAGTTAGGAAGATTGAAGGGATTGTATGAAGGGTTTGCTTTCGTTCTATCTAGCTTTGGGGCTGCCATAGGTCTTTGAAATGGTGAGCTTAGTTGTTCCTGACTCTTCTTGTTAGTTAGAACTGATGGTTTGGAAAATTTTGTGCTTCACCTGTTGTTGGGTTAATCAATTTATCTTAGGTTCTGCTTCACGCATTACTAGCTGTTCTATTTGTTCCTGCAGTTGACAAATATTTCCGGTTCTGGTGGTACCAATATTTCACGGGCCAAAGATGATTTGAAAGTTCCATCTTCGACTCCACAGGGAGTTGGTGCATCATCCACAACATCCACTATTGGTGTTTCAGCTACAGCTGCTGCTGCAACTACTTTGGTGCAACCTGCTATTGGCTTCCCCCCAATTCCTGGTCTTAATAGCACACCTAACTTTGAAGCTGTCAGACGTGCACAGGAACTTGCTGCAAAGATGGGCTTCCGTCAGGATCCTGAATTTGCTCCACTTATTAATATGTTCCCTGGACAGATGCAGACTGAGGCTGTTGGACCACAGAAGCCTACTAAGGCTCCTGTTCTCCGGGTAGATGCACTAGGCAGGGAAATAGATGAACATGGAAATATTGTGAGTGTGACTAAACCAAGCAACCTCAGCACGCTCAAGGTTTGTCCAAGTTCTTTTGGCTCTATCACTTGTTATTGATATATTTCTTAAGTTGCTAGCTACATAATATCTGTGTGTCCTTTCAGGTGAACATCAACAAGCAAAAGAAGGATGCTTTCCAGATTCTAAAGCCCGAGTTGGAAGTGGATCCCGACTCAAACCCTCATTTTGATGAAAGAATGGGCATCAATAAGGCTAAGATTCTGAGGCCTAAGCGGATGTCTTTTCAGTTTGTTGAGGAAGGGAAATGGTCCAAGGATGCTGAATCAATAAGACTAAGGGTAATTTATTTATGCTCTTGGTTGCCATGAAATGATCGGAATCCACTACTTTGATTATTTGGGGTATTCTTATAGTTAGACAATCTTGCTTGTCTCCAAATTCACAGTATCTTGTTTTCTCATTTTTCAAGGCTTAACTCAGAAGATCTCTGCTGGGGGCTTCTTGAAGAAGACGCTGTTCAATTTTGCGTACTCCCAGTAAGTGTTGTTTACTTGTTTTGGTATTCTAGTCTGGTCTTTCATCTCCAGCTTTCATTTTACATTTAAGCATTGGCATGTCCTTGTGAGCTCAACTTGAACAAAAAAAAAAAAAAACGGGATATTTCATAATTCTTGCCTGCGATTCTGGTTCCTGTTTCTTGACTAACTGGTGATCTCACTCTCGCTTCAGCAAACTGAGTAATTTGAAAGGCAGGAGTAAGACAGACGATGCATCTCCACTCAGTGACAAGCTCGTCTTCAGCAAGGTAATCATGATGCTTGGTCTTAACTATTAAGTCAGTCTAATTATGTTGTCAAATTGCGAAATACTGTTATGGTGTTTAACTCTGGTGGCTCTTCCTCACATGTAAAGCAAGGGTTGGGAGGAAATGTACGGCTAATCCTATCTGGAGCAGCACCACTGGCCAGCCATGTTGAAGCTTACCTTCGAGTCGTCACATGTGCCCATGTTCTACAAGGATACGGTAAACTATTAGCAACCCCATTCTACTCTTTGCGTTCTACATACCTTTCGCGACTCAAGAATCTCATTTTCTTACGACATGAATGTATGCAGGTCTCACGGAGAGCTGTGCTGGAAGTTTCGTGTCATTGCCAAATGACATGTCGATGCTCCGCACTGTAGGTCCTCCAGTGCCAAATGTTGATGTCCGCCTTGAATCGGTTCCGGAAATGAACTACGATGCTCTCTCCAGCACTCCTCGTGGTGAATTCTGCATCCGAAGCGACACCCTGTTCTCCGGCCGTGGTGAATTCTGCATCCGCAGCGACACCCTGTTCTCCGGCTACTACAAACGTGATGATCTCACTGAGGAAGTCTTGATTGGTGGATGGTTCCACACTGGTTCGTGAACTTTTCCCCTCTGGTTCAAGATTCTGTAACAATGTCTAAAGTTTCTAACAAATTTCAATCTTAACTATTGTACAAACAGGCGATGTTGGGGAATGGCAACCCGACGGAAGCATGAAAATCATCGACCGGAAGAAGAATATCTACAAGGACACTAGTCTGTTTGGCGTTTATACAGTGGCTAAGGTGAGATTCCTACTACTTTAAATAGAATTTAAACCATCCATAACGTAAAGTGATCAAATAATTTTGCGACAATCAAACTTAACTAAAAGAAACGCATAAACTTAAATGAACCATATCCTTCGAAATCTCTAGTTGATGCACTTTTCCAAATCACTTGTTGGTGCTGATTTGTTTTCTCTTAGTAGCACTTCTTGTGGTCGGAATCTTCTGTAACATAAAATGGAAATGTTGTAACAACCAAAATCAAGGATGAATGAAATCTGTTTCGTAAGTGCATAAGATTTCACAAAATTTACCCTTTGAGGTTCGTCGTCCAAACCATCAACATCTTCTGCTTCCTTTCTTTGGCCAGGATTGTTGTTATCGGGCTGACTTTCAGCCTGCTTGGTAGCACTATTTTTTGGCTTCTTCTACGTTAACAAAAAGTTAGGTTTTAGTGTCATACTTATAGAAGAATAAATGGTTACTAACTAATTAAATACACAAGATTTGTCCATAAAATTTACCTTTACCGGTTCGTTAGTTGGCTCATCATCATGTGAGTTGCTGGGAGAATTAGTACAAGTGCTTTGGTAATGGCCATCTCGTCCGCACTTACCGCACTTTCGTTTTTGTTTGCCAGAAGACTTTCCTTTTCCAGTTTTACCACCTTTACATGGCACCTTCAATGGGTCTAATACTCCTTTATATTCCTCTGGTATAGGGATCGTGCCTCCCTCAATAGGATTCTGTTGCATCGTCGCTAACTGGTCACACAAATTATCCATTGCTTTTTGTGCAAACCTATAAGTTTCGGATGAATTTGCCCCTAGAAAGAAAAAGCGAAAGTTGCTGTACTGCAGCATCCCGTACCTAACATTGAATAGACTAGGATCATCGATACTCTGTTGCTCTTGCATGTCGTCTATTGTCTTTAGATTCTTTGTCCATCTTTTTAATACCAAAGTTTCTGGCACTGTCGGTATGTTCTCTTCCTTTAGCACAGAGAGCATATGGCAACATGGAATTCCCATGTAGTCAAATTTAGCACAACTGCACTTCATCTTCTTGGTTTCAACATCAAAACTGACATTGAACATCTTTTCTGTGCCAAACAACGTCACCTGGTAATTATGCCACACTCCATTTATCTCAACATTTCTCTTCCTGATACCCTCAACTTTGCCTAGCTCTTTTCGAAATTTTCCAAATATCTTATTGGTGAATTCCCTAGCAGCACTCTCTTCAAGAGTCCTCAAGGCTGTATGTTTTATCTCGGGTAAACCAAAGCTGGATTGAAAATCTAATTTCACCTCAGTTTCCCTTAGTTCCTTTATCCAACGATCAAAATGGATAAAAAACTCAAGTAGATTGTGGTCCTCAGTTACAAACCTTGCAAGATGTGAGTTAAGTCCTTCACAAACTGACGTTGTTGACAATCCTGCAAAGAAGTAAGTCCGTAGGTACGTGTAAGCCCATTCCCCTCGCCTTCCAAATAAATCTGATACCCATTTAGAATTATGCAGCGACAACTTTTCCACCATTGCTGCCCATTTTTCTTCAAATTCATCATACTCATAATCAGCATATACAAACTTCTGCCATTCAGGTTCGAACTCTTTGTGGTTTTTGAAACGACTCACAATATTCTTGGCAATATGCCATGAACACAAACGATGAGTTGCCTCTGGAAAGACTTTCTGAATGGCATTGCGCATTGCTTTGTCGCCATCTGTTACAACTGTACGAGGTTCTTTGTCCCCCATTGCTTCCTTCAATACCCCTAGCACCCAGTCATAACTTTCCTCAGTCTCGTTAGCTAGCAGAGCACATCCAAATATACAACTCTTTTTGTGGTGATTGATACCTAGTGCCAAAACCAATGTATGTAAGCTGAATACCAAAATTGGGAAGTTGCTGAATTATTAGTGAGCAAACAGATTGGTCTGACTAGGGAAACAAATTGGCGAGCAAATTATTACAAAACTTGAACAAAAGCTAAGTGTTTTTAACGAAAGCTATTGAAATTTGTTGAAAGCAGCTGGTTTTGAGGAAAAATTATGCACTGCCATACTTTACTACGGCAGCAAAAGACTTAGTTTTGCTTGTACAATAAAAACATAGAATCCAATTGCATATTTTAATAGACAGCAACGATAATTTGCATCAATGAATGTAGTAACGATAAGGTAGAAATGTGCACCTGAGAAAACAACTAGAGGCATGTTATAAACATTCTTCTTGTACGTGCTGTCAAATGCTAGCAAATCTCCAAAGCACGCCATATCTGCTATGCTCATGCTGTCTGCCCAAAATATGCTATGAAGTCGCTTATCTTCATCAAAAATAGGTCTTAAAACGAAGTGGTTGTCTCCGCTGATTTTAGACTTAAGGTATGCGAGTGCCGTGGCAGCATCTCCCTCGCTGATCCTTTCCCCACGATCTTTAGAGGCAAAATTATGTAAATCTTTTTTGGTGTGTCCCACTTTGTCATAGCCTCCAGCCTGGTGCACATGCTGATTCATGATGTCAGCGGTTTTCATACCTGCATCACGTTGGTATCTAACTTTAGCTTTAGTCGCTTCATCTAAGCCTCGATGTGATCTCATATGATGCACCAACTTTTGACGAATCGGATTATGGGTATGGTCGATGTAGAAAGTGTCAACAATGTACTTTGAATCTGACTTGTCCAGCTGAACACGCAGCCTAGCTTTACACTGAAATCTTGTATTTAATCGTGAAGGTCGTTGTAGCTCGTCTTTACTTTTGCGTTTTGTCCCCGCACAAGAACATACAAAAAGTCGAGAAGTTGTTTCCCCCTTTTTTGTTTCAGTCTTCTTCTCACATCTCACCGAAAAACCCCAAGCTCTTGCATACTTATTGTAGAAATTGTAAGCCTCTTCAGTACTGTTAAACTTTCGACCAATAATGTCCTCGGCCGTAAGATTTTTCAGAACTTCAGTGTCTTCATCTTCGATGATTTCATCTTCAGGTTCAATATCAGATTCTGCATTTTTATCTCCATTCTCCTCGACAATAACTTCTTCTTCGGCTGACTGGTTTTGTTTTTCTCCTCTTTCGCTAGTTAAACCATCGCCTGCTGCTTGCTGATTTCCACCCTCTGCCATATGGGCGCCTTGGCTGAGTCTCTTAGACAGGAGGCAGCTGCTTAAAAAGGTTGCGGGGAATGGTTGACAGAACCTCTGATATGATATATGTATATGGGAATAGGTTTTTTGTACTCATAATCCGGGATTTTGTTTATGCTTAAGGTATTAACTATTAAGGCATAATTTTGGATTACGGAAGGGGAATATGCTTGCTTGGGTCTAATTTTTTAAGGACATATATTTAATAAAAAGAAAAGTGCCATTAATTACAAGGGCATGTGAGGGGGCCGGCCAACCGCCTTCTCCCATCTGTAGAAGAGCGTTTCTTTCTGCAGGCCAGGGTTGAATCCACGTGGCAGGTCTTGACTTGATGGACGGTGAATTCATCTTTTGAGGACTTTCTATTCTATAACCATTTGTTTTTGTTTTATTTTATTCTATCCCCGCGCTTAAAATTTTAAATTTCCCGCTGTATCTTTACGGACAAGCACTTGGCGTCAGAGTATTATTTGGATGGAAGGCGGGAAGGAATTTGCTGCTTCCCTCTGCATTAGAGCTTCCCCAGCCTGGAGCCCCACCATGGCCGAGGTATTTCCTTCTACCTTCTTTCTCATCTTCATTATTCGTTTTATGCCACATTTAGCCATCATCCTATGCTGTTATCACAAAACAAATTCATGTATAGCTGAATTTTCCAACAACTCAGTACGATGCACTACGTTGTTAGAATTTGTATTGTTTGCTTGTGTATTCCTTTGGTAAAACCCATTTCACCTTTGCTAGTTTAGGCAACATGGCAAGTGATCCATTGCCAGTATACACATATGGTTCTCATTATGTATTTTTTAAAGTTCCCCACCTTTATGTCTCTCTCAATTTACTGAGTTTCTTGTTTTCCAATATATGAACTTGCAGGCAATTGAGTTTGGCCGGTTGCCTGGAGATATTCTGGATGATATACCATGCAAGTACACCAATGGAACTCTTGTATGTGAGGTGAGTGTGTTTCCTAGCTATGTTAAGTCTGTTCCAACATTCATGTACATACCATGTAATGAAAAGGCGTAATTAGTTGATATATCACTGAGTGTTTCCAGAATGGTGACATGTTCTGCAGGTGCGAGATTATCGAAGCTGTGCTACTGAGCAAGGTTCTGGTATGCCATCTCTCAGCGGAGCTCCTACTATGAATAAAGTGCGCCTTAAGATGTCATTGGAAAATGTGGTGAAGGATATCCCGCTGATTTCAGATAACTCCTTGAACTACGGTGATCTGATGGTAATGCTAAAGTCTTATTCTTCATACTTCCTGTAATATATCTGCAGCCATCAGGTCTCAGTTTTTGTTTCTACCTGTTGTTGTAGGAAGTTGAATCCAGGATAGTGAAGGCTTTGCAGCCGATACTTTCGCTTGATCCCACACCTGAACTGGATAGGCTCTCTGCTAGCCCTCTTCCCTCCCGAGTAATAAAAAATATCTGAATAAATATGATGTTTTGTTGGAGGAATGTATTAAGTTTTTTTTATTATTAATTATTTGCAACTCATACTTGCAGCTAAATTTAAATCTGAGTAGCCTGCTGAAGAAACGGTTGAGGCAGATTTGCCGAGTCAGGCCATATGACGCAGCAGCATCATGTCAATGAAAATCTGAATGCTTCAAATCTCGGTACAAGCAGCATGCTAGGTGTGGGGGCAAGGAGCTTTCAAGATGGCAATGTTCAAGCAATACCTTTAGTTTCTCAACAACAAAGGTATCAAGCTGCAGCTGGAAATGCTAGGGGCATTCAGGATCACGGCTCAGCAGGGTCTCTTGTAAATATTTCTGCATCTTCCCCTGGCGGGCAAGAGATGATGGTCAATTATGGTGACAATATGAATGTCGGCGCTTCACTACATGGTAAAAGAGAGAATCCAGATGGACAACAAACACCACAATTACCATATTTTAACAAGAGATCAAGGATGAATTCTATAGGTCCCGATGGGATACAACCGACACAAACGGATAACCTCCAAACATTTGATATGAGCTGGAGGACCTCGTTTCTTCAGCAACAAGTAATGGCTAGAGGAATGCAGTACGCTAATCATGTCGGGATCCATAAGTACCCACAAATGTTTGAAGGGGTCATCAATCAGAGATTCGGTGTGAAGGAAGAGCAGTTTGATCCTGACAGGCTGGATAGAGGACCGGAGCACAGTCAGGGTAATAAGAGTGATATGCAGATGGAAAGACTGCCCCAGCATATGATGAGACCGAATTTCCCTCCGGCAACAGCATGGAGCAATTTCAGCCAAGAGACAAGGAAGGAGGACCAGCAGGTTCCAAAGAGGAAATCTGCACAAAGTCCTCATGTGTCTGCAGGTAGGGGTGGCTAATGAGGTTTAGTTTTCCAGTTAACCGGTAACTGAAGTGGTAAAATAATCTTTGAAAGTCCTTTTGTTTTACAATGGCGGATTTTGGTTTTGGCTTCATGTTATTTTCATTTAATTGGAGGAAAAAGCAAAAGAAAAAATTGTAAGGATAAATAAAATTTTCAACAAAACCCACAAAGAAAGCATGAAAATCAGTTTATATTGGTCATTTAGTCCATATCGGATTTTTAGTGAATTACTCCTATCTGCAGGTGCTTTGGCTCAGTCTCCATTATCATCGAGATCTGGGGAATTCTCAAGTAACTCAGTTGGGCCTCACATTGGAGCAGTTTCTGCAGCGACTGCTGCTCTTGGTTCGTCGCAAAAGGATAAGTCGGTAGTTACCTCCACTCCTGGGAGGACGGCTTCTTTGAATTCCAGCAGTAATGACTCCTTGACACGTCTGCATCAGCAGCCTGCTCAAGTTGTGAGCAAAAGGGGGTCAAATTCTGTACCCAGGACCACTGTTGCTATGAGTGGAGTCGCCTCACCTGCAAGCGTTGGCAACATGAACGCGGCTAGTCCTATGGTTGGAGCAGCACAGATGGCTGATCAAGTCGTTCTCGAAAGATTTGCAAAGCTTGAGATGGTGGCTTCAAGGTACTGTTTACTTTGAAGGCTTCGTATTTGCTGGATTCAACAACTTGAGTCCATCACAAAATATTCTCCTGCTGCATTGACTGGGAAAATAAACTAATTGTCATTGGTCTCGGCTTATAAGATTAGGTTTGTCACTCAATTCATTTACGAAAAGTTCTCCATGGTAACTTCTTCCAGCGACAAAAAGATAAATATAAGAATAAACGTTGTATTTCAGCTTTAATGAGAAAATGAATGGAGTGACTAATAAAGCATCGATTATTTTGGTTCAGTGCTTTATTTACATCATAACTGGTTTCATAGCAAAAGTTCGCATAGTTGAATGACATCTTTTCCGATTAGCCCTGCATGCATTGTTTTTCCCCATTGCATGTATATCTATTCTGGGTTCAAAATGGTTCTTATGTTTACCACAGAACAGTTGGTGGTGCAATGTGAAAATCAATCTTGCTGCCCGCTCTCGAATTCCTCGGCTAATTTTACTCCTTGTGTTCCAGGCATAAGATGCACTGTAAAAAGAACAAAGTGGATGACTACCCAAGGAAACAAAAAACATGTAATACTCAGCTTCTTGGGGCTTGCCTATCAAATCCATCCAATAACGAGGATTTCAAAGATGACTCTGAAGAAAAGCAATTATCAAATTCACTTGTTGGTGGCAGCAGGAATGCTCCCAAGATGAGAGTTATGAATTTTATGGTAGGTGAAGGGGTGCTTCAAGGTTTGTTTCATGTTTTGCAAAATGAACTATGAAAAGATTTTGGTGAACCTTTTACTATGTATCAGCTATTTCATTCACCTCATTTTCTGCAGGAAATGTTGTTGCTTATGTCCCAAAAGCACGTGCTAGAATGGTCCTGATGGAGAAGTCGAATGATGGTACTGTGGCTATGCATTATGGAGACATGGATGATGGCGATATTCTCTCTGCTGATGAGTATCTTCCTACCTTACCTAATACGGTAAGTCTGTTTGTTTATAAAGGACTCTGTGTGCTTTCCTTTACAGCTTGCTGGCATCTTGAATTCCCATAACTGGTTCAGATTCTCGATCATCAACTGGTCATAAAATTTTATTGTCACTAAGCTCGAGATCCTCCCTACTAGTTGTTCTAAAATCCATTGCTTGGTTGATGGACTGTTATGATGGACTATGGTAAGTGGATTGTGTCCCCTAATTAATTTATAGGGTAAATTGGACTTATGAATTTCCAATTCTTGGGGTGTGCTATGATGTGCAAATCCATAAAGTTCTCTATCTGTAAGTCTACTGCTTTTCTTTGTAAGCCAAACAATGGATTTGGGACAATCTCTCTAGCCATAGATTTTGGACATAATCCATCAAGGTAAATCATCAGCCAAACAACCTATATATTTGGCCGAATTATTATTATATTGAGTGATTCTTTTCTTATGATTTTTCATCCCACCCGGTACTGCATAGGCGGTCTTCTTTTCATTTTTTATATATTCAATGCTCTGATCCTTATCTTGGTTCTCCTGCAGCATCACGCCAATTTTCTTGCAAAACAATTCTGTACATTGGTACATAAAATCAACGTCTAGTTCAATGATCTTTCTACTCGGTTTTCCCGGTTATGGATTCTGAGGTGTTTCTTTCTTAATATATGCAGATGAGCCGTGATGGCTATCTCGTGGAGAATCACATTGTACAAAAACCAACAAGGATGATGAATATTCAGTTGAGTAGTCAACCGCCAGTTCTGACTGGCAACAATTCCACGCTGGAGATGCAGCACCACCAACAACAATACAATGAAGCTATCGCTGCTCAGCAGGCCGCCTCAAATGATGTGTCGGCCATGTACTGTTACAGCCTCTATTAATATTTGTCCACCAAAAAATCAATATGTGATATGATGCTAAGCAAATAAACCTCTTGTTCTCAAATCAATAACTCAAACAATCCAGTTTAACCTCAAATAATCCAAACTTGACTCGAATAATTCAAACAAACCAGTTTAAATGCAAATAATTCAACTTGACTCAAATATCCTAACAGCGATCCAATCTGCTTTCCAACTTCAAACTGGTGACAAAAAGTTTTAGCTTCAAATTCTGGCATCTCCATGCATGAGTACCATGTCTTTGCGGATCATGTCTTTCCACATAGATGAGTGTTCAAGAGCATGACGATGGATTTTCTCCAACTTCAAATTTTGCGGGCAGCCCACCAACTTTAGTGCCAACATCATTCGGTCCACCTCGTTACATGGCTGTGTAAATTTTTTTTTGTTAATACAAGGAAAAATACAAGAGATACTATGTGATTGAACTAATAAAAATTAAGTGTATGCTTCCTTACCCCAACACAGTATCCATTCATGGCATCTGAGTACATCATCCATAAGCAAACCCACATGCCACAATCAAATCTAATACAAATAGCTATTATGTAAGTTTATTAATAATCAAATGCTTTAAAATAATCATAGACAATATCCATATCATTTACCCGTTTTCTTGTATAGGAACCTTATCAGGAATGATCAACTGAAAATTGCGGATGTTTGGCGCTTCATTCATCTTCTCTAGCTCAGAGTATAGCTTTTCAAATAAATCATGTAAAAATGCCATCTGCATAAATAATGAAATGTACTTAACTAAAATAAGTTTGATTACGAAACAAACTCATGACAAATGTTCAACAGCGTACTTACCATGCGTCCTACAACTTTCATACGATTTCCATTGCGGTCTGTCATAGGTGCTGAGTCAACCAGATGTACTTGTTTTGATTCTGTCAATACCACTGCCAAATACCAATGAGTGCCATCATTCAATGGTAGATAGACCTGCCAAAGATCAACATGAAGATCATCATCCTTAAACGAAATATACAAAAAAAAAAAAAAAAAAGGAATGAGATATTCGTTAAATGTCTACCTTCTTGGATCCATAGGCATTACGCAAGAAGCTAGAACGATAATTATTTAATAACTTTTCAGGACTATAACCATACTTCTCCACTCCCACCTATTGGATCATATTGAAACAAAGATTAGTGCATGTTTTTAATATGCACAAAAATGTGAGTGTTAGTGTTCCATATTTTCATTACCTGCATTTGGCTAGGGAGGAAGCACAACCGAAACGGGGTTCCACGTCGTTCTTCATACATCTCAGATAGGTTGAGATAATATGCACAACTTGTTATAACCTTCAACACAACAACAAACAATGTGACTATTTATAAATGAATAATGTGAACTAATTTTGTAAATAAAACCAACACTTACATCATCTTGTACCCATTTGTTAGGCAACAGGCTCCACAGCGACAGACGAGTACAAAAATGGGAACCATTTTTTACCAATATATTCCGACCATCAAGATCTTTTGCAAAGATATAGTATGCCAGATTAACCTCATCTAAAGTTAACTTCATGTACTTGGTGATAGGAAATTGCATCACAAACTGCCATGCAAAACTAAAATATTAGAGAGTTTCTATACTTATTAATAGTATACAAAACTATTCTAGTAAAAAAAAAATACCTTTTCCTTGGTAGAGATCCAGAAAGATTTAATTCTCTTTTTTCTTTCAAAATAAGGCTCGTCATCATCATCGTCAATAACAATGACATCAGAACTCGGTGTCACAGGAGACTTAACCGTTCCTCCCAACAAATCATCATCATCGTCATCAATAACAATGACATTTGTGCTCAGTGTCACAGGAGACTTAGCCGTTTCTCTCGAAAAAAGCTTCTTTTGTATAGGGTTGGTAGAACGATACTGTCGACAACAAAAAATGTTGAAATAGTCAATAAGTTCATTACATTGTTGCACTTAATTAATTATATAAAGCTAAAAACAATGTCTAATAAAGAAATGTGATTAATTGTATATAGAAACTCATTGCAATTTGTATTCTTGCTGCAAAGTTAGACAAAACCCAAAAGTTTTCACCAAAAAAGAACAAAGTGCAAACGGGCCTTAGAGTACAAACAACCCTAAAATAAATTAGATCCAAGCGAGCCCATAATAAATTACAGCCCAGCAGAGCCCAAACGGAGAAATATATGCAAGGGGGAAAATCTCTACAGCTTTACATATAATAATTACAAATAAAAAAAAAATGTGACCACCAACCCCAACCTTTGAAAAAGATCTCTTGGGTCCTATTATATTCGCAGCAGCATCCACCAGGAAGTTTTGATAGCCCTTATCCCTAATTTAAATGGCCAAAGAAAAAACTGTCATAAGTAATACAAGACGAAAAACTTACAATAAAAAAAGAGATGATGACTAAAAACGTTTGAAAGAGATGATGCATATTACCCAGTTGGATCCATGATCTTCACTTCCACAAGTAAAAATCCGAATGAAAGCAGCAACTGCATACACAGTGACAGGACATAATGAAGATGAGAATCACAACAAACAACAAGAAATTCCAAAAAGAAACAGGATACTACCTAAGAGGGAGAATGCAGAAAGTAAGCACCAAAGCCGACAAATAAAGGGAGCACAACAGACAATTATATACAAGACAAAACAATAGGGTATGGACCATTTAAAGACACCTCAGTTCTATTAACCAAATCGAGAGCTTAGCCTAATAAGTAATAATAGGCTTTCTTATTATTCAGCAACTAATAAACCACTTTCCATATACCAATTCGTCTAATAAAGAAGCTTTAATATTATTTTGCAATTAAAAAACCAGTTTCCTTATACAGATTAATCTTTCTATATGCAACTAAGAAACCAGTTTCCATTCACGATAATATAGTTATTATGCATACAAATTGCTATCTTACCTTTTAAAGAGTACGACCAGTAATTAGCAGCAAACTCTGAATTGTGTGTGACCAGTCACTAAGATGTCCACATCGAGCTGCCTTTGCAGCATGGCCAGTGAATCCAAGTCTCCCCAGGGAATAACCTTCAGAGCATTAAACATGGAATATCAGATTCTGCATTTCACAAACTTTTCCTTCACCAACTAAACCCTGATAATTGAAGCATTAGGACAGCAAGTCCTTAAGCCTTTCAAATGATCAAATTTTCCAACGGTTAGAGGTGACTGAGGAATAATCATAACTCTTCATTAAGCAAAATCAGAGTGAAAGCATTAGCATGGAACTTAAGGAGCCACTACCAACATGGGAACATCTGAGCTTTTTCTAACACCCTTCATACTCAACATTCTAAACTACTTATCACATCTAACAAGAAAAATAAGCAAGAGACGAATCGCGAGAATGAAACAACCACGAGCTAAGAGCAACAAGCAGCCAAACAAGGATCTGAAATCCAGAAATGAAGAACAAACACTACCAGATCTGAGCAAATGTTACCTGCATATCTCACTTGACGATTTCAAGAGGAGTGACGGCCATGTCAGTGAGACCGCAACTGAGGATATCGCCGAAAGTACAGGAGGCATAGAAAGCCGGAGAGTACATCTCGATCTTCCCGGGATCGCTTTGCAGCAAGTTCCTGTGCATGTCTGACAGCTTCAAAGTTAGGTGTGCTATTAAGACCAGGAATTGGGGGGGAAGCCAATAGCAGGTTGCACCAAAGTAGTTGCAGCAGCAGCTGTAGCTGAAACACCAATAGTGGATGTTGTGGATGATGCACCAACTCCCTGTGGAGTCGAAGATGGAACTTTCAAATCATCTTTGGCCCGTGAAATATTGGTACCACCAGAACCGGAAATATTTGTCAACTGCAGGAACAAATAGAACATTTGTTAATGCGTGAAGCAGAACCTAAGATAAATTGATTAACCCAACAATAGGTGAAGCACAAAATTTTCCAATTAGAGTTGGTACTTACCATTTTTAGCTTCTTCAACTTCTCTTGTAGCTCTTTCTTCATTTCGATGGCTTTCTTAGCTTTTGCTAAAGCATCATGGGAGGAACTTCCACTTTTGCCAGCAGTCGATGATGACCCATCTGTACTAGATTTTCCAGGAACCTCATGATATCTGGTAATACTAACTCCCTTATTTTCAGTCGTGTTTGAAATTGAAGATACCTTGATAGGGACGGAAAAATCAGGAGCTACAGAGGACCCAGCAATGCTTGAAAGCTGAGTCAATGAACCAGAGGCAGCACCCTGAATAACATCACAAGTTACTTTCAGAATCAGAAAGCTAAACAATACCAGGTGATCAATGTTTGAATAATAGCTGAAAGACAGAAGCACAAAAATATGTCAACAGAGATGTTGGAGGCCCAAAGTAAAGCTCAGTTCAATTTCTAAAGAAAATGAGTTTAGCATTAACCATAATCACAGCATCAAGGGCACTATATATACATGTCTCTCCCACAAATAATATGAGTGGCACACTGTGGCTTCCAAACCATCAGTTCCAACTATTGAAAATTATAGAAAAAGACCTATGGCAAGGTATCATCAGTTCCAAACCATCAGTTCCAAACCATCAGTTCTAACTAACAAGAAGAGTCAGGAACAACTAAGCTCACCATTTCAAAGACCTATGGCAGCCCCAAAGCTAGATAGAACGAAAGCAAACCCTTCATACAATCCCTTCAATCTTCCTAACTTATAATGAAGTTTGATTCACATAATGGGTAAATCGAATCCAAAAGCAAACCAAATTGAACACAGTTCCAAACGGGACAAAAATGATAGAAAAAGCGAATCACTAACTCGTTTGCAGCCATCGACGGCATCGTCGAACCTCTAGATCGTGCCAGGGATTTGAAACCCCAGGTGCTTCTCCGCCAATTGGATATACTCGGATACTGGCTGACCCACTGTGCCGCTCTATCTCTCGCATCCTCTTCCCTAGCTGCAAAATTTGAAGCAAGAGTTAGGATGATAAAAGAAACCCCGTATAAATGGAGAGATTCAAACACGAGAGTCGATATCAGTCGAACAAAAAAGTAAGGGGAGATATAGGTGTACCGTGGCAGACACAAGAGTGGAGGCCGTCGGTGATGGAGAGGTCGAAGCGACCCTCGAACGACGTTCCCTTGACGAAGACTGGTTCGCTCGCAGGGGTGTAAATCTCGAGCTTCATGCATGTGTGCCTCGTCCCCGCCGCCGCAGTATCCATTCTTCTCCACCGTCACCATCTTCTTCTTCGCCGTCGAAATGGGATCTGGGCCTCCTTACTCAACCTCGTCGAAGTCCTCCATAGAGACATCGGCTCCTCTCATCGTCCTCTACAGCAACTCAGCAAGTCCGCCAACACCGTTGAGCTTCTCCGCCTGGCCCCATGAACTATGGACAAAGGGGCCTTCCTTGGTGTCGGTGAGATTGTGACTTTCATGGAATGGAGCTCTGATCGGCTGGGAGATGGAGATTAGCAGAGGAATCAAGAAAGGGGCGTAGTCTAATGCTCCATGCAAGAGGCAAAACAAGAAAGGGGGCTTTTCTTAGGGTTTAGATCGATCTGATTTGGCGGAGATAAGGTAACAACATGAGAACTGCGGTTCATCCACCTCAATCGATCAATCGAACGCTGCAGATGAGATTCAAACTCGAGAGAAGAGAAACCCTAAAAATTACAGAGGAGGATTGGGGTCTAACTTGAGAAGGGGTGTGTTTGTATCTATCTATCGAAAGACGGAAGAGAAGAAATGGATCTTCTTGTTAAGCTTCGTCTGCTTCCTCCTCTTGTTGTTGAATCAAACTGTTTGCCTCTGCTGAATGCAAAAGAGAACGAGGGAGAGAGAGCGCACAGGGGTGGCTGGCTCGGTTCTGTTTCTCTCTTGTTCAGTGGTGGAGTCGATGAATTGGGGGAGAGATAAGGGAAAGGAGGATCGAGAAGGGGAAAGGAGGATCGAGAACAGTCTCTCACTTATGATGAAGAAGACGAAGTGGAATAGATAAATGAGGACAAAACGACAAGATGATGAGTTGTAATGGTAGGAGCAGTGAAGTTGTAAATAATTATAAAGTTTGGGTGTTTTAAGTTTATAATTTGGAAAAAGGTACTATAATATATATGATTGTTAGTTAAGGGATTGATATGAGGAGAATGAAAGGATTGGTTAGATAAAATTTATATGGGATTAAACCGTGAACAACCATTAATGAAGGGATATAATTGCAATTGTTTTTATTATTAATAATTACCTTAATTATAATTAAATTAAAAATAATTAATAATTAATTAATAGGTGTGAACGCAGGAGTACACCGTACACCAGGTGTACGCTAGCCTGAACCATATATATATATATATGTAATTGTTTATGGGCTAATAAATAAATTAACCATTAGTTACAACAATTATACTAAACTTGATAAGTAAACAATGAAGCCAAGGTTAAAATTAGTTGGGCTCATTCTGTTAGATTCGTTGAACTCATTTACGAGTTATTATCGAGTTGAGTTCGAGTCGAGCTCGAGTTCATGTAATTTGTGACGAGCCGAGTTTGAGCTTGATTTTTGTAGTTTATTTCAAGCCCGAGCCTAGTTCGAGCAGGGCAATCTTCTATCGATTTCGAGCCCTAGTTGGGCAAAAGTTTGGTTTAGCTCGGCTCGTTTGCAGCCCTAAAGATGACAGGGTAAGAAGTAATTTTGGGCGAGTGATAATGAAATTTTGTTGGTTGTTTAACCGACGCAAACCCGACACGAATCATAAATTTTGTGTAGGTTCACATAACCGACACAATACAACCGATACAAAACACTTTTTGTTGTAGTTAGTTATCTTATCTTAAAAATGTCACTCGAATTACCTTAAATGCAGATTATTTTACATTTTATATCATATACTTAATTATTTACCATTGCGATTATCACAATATTTATAGTTATGAGTTAAGAGTTTAGCATTTAGTTACTAAGACATTGTCTATAGTAAATCTTATTATAGATAGGGTGGAAGTTTGCTTTGTGGCTTGCAGTTTAACCACAAACTGCACAGAACCACACGTAGTTTGATTAACCACTAACCGCATTTTGTAATTATTGGTTAGTCACTAATCATTATGGTTAAACCATAATAACTGCACAAACCACACTTATTCATTGAAGTTTTATTTTATATGTATTAGTATATAATAATTAATATTAATAAGTAGGGTAAAGTTTAGTAGTTAGCACTTTAATAAGTTATTTGTTATATTGTTGAATTAGTTATAAAAGATTCTAACTTCTACTAATTATTGAATTATTGTCATCTTATCGAATAAGATTAATAGTGAATTGTTGTTAATGTTGGATTACCCTTTAATAGTTTTATCAGTTTTTTATTTTTTGTGATTTTCTACACATATTTTATTGCTTTACTTTTTGTATATATTTTATTTGATATATCTTCCTTATGTGATAGATGATTCTCATTTTTTACCATTTATATTATCCTTCATATCTCTCTTATTTTTTATTGATAACAAACTTATAAGAAAAATATAGATCAATTTATGAGTTTGGTAAATTAGTTTTTGTGATTAACCACAAACTAACCACGCCAAACCGCATCGGTTAGTGATTATCACTAACCATAGTGGTGCAGTTTGTGATGAGGGTATTTAGAGATTTGTCATTGTGGTTAACAACAAAATGTGTCTTTTTGTTACCCATTTCCCTTCTCGTTGCAATATGCTGCCCAATTTTATCTTTTGTTGATATATATTGCCGCCCAATTTCTTCATTCCCGCTCCAAAAGGCCCTCCAATTTTCGTTTGGATTGATCTTTATTGGCACCCAAATTTTGTTTGAGTTCATCTATATTGCTGCACAAAAATGTTGAGATAGGAAAAGTGTTTTTCTTCTTTGCTTTTAGAGTAGTGTTTTGTTTACCGAATGTATGGTTTGTTAATAATGTATTGATTATAAATGTTGATATCACCATTACTATTGGCTAGTGAACTTTACCAGTTACGATTAATTACATGACAAGTTTGCAAGTCATACAAATTGATTCAACATTTTGACTAGTTTTTTTAATTAAGTATATATACGAGGTAGAAGAAATTGGTTAAAAATTGTGAAAAATATTTTAAATTAGTGTAATAAAATGTGTAAGTTGGTAACGAGTAAGTAACTCGATGCCTTGACCCGAACAACCCGCAACCCGCCCGGTCCAAAACCTTTCAACCCGAATTTGATTTGCCCGCAAATCGATTGAACCTGAACCCGATCAACCCGCAACCTGACTAACCCGCGACACGATTGAACCCGAACCCAATTGAACCCGACCCGATGAACCCGCAACCCGACTAACACGCAAACTGATCGAACCCAGCCTGAACCCGCCCGCCCCGCCCGATTGACACATATACTTCATATTATAAACTAGCCAAATGAATTAGTTTATTTCAAATCTGTCTTTGTCTACCAAAGTTGTCATTCATTTTAATAGGAGGTATAGTTCACATAAGTTCATGTATTCTATATATCAACTAATGCCTCTAGACACATAAACTAAATTTTTTAGGGCTGTCAAATATTTGTTTAAGTATATAAACAAACCTGAGGATAGTGCTATGGCAACTTTGCCTACGCAACAAAATACATCAGGCGGTTT